GGGCCAAATTTGGCCCGCGGGCCCCACTTTGGGCTCCTCTGCTCTAAAGGAACATTGATAATAAATAATATTTATGAATGAACTGGTCCAAATCTGCCTTTCAGTGTATAAAATGGTACAAAATGAAAAAGAAAAAAACTGTATAGGTCTTCTGGACGGGTTCCTCTCTAATGAAACGTTTCGTCTCTCCTCCAAGAGACTTCTTCAGTCTGAGAGTTTCAGGCTAAATTCAAGGTACAAAATGAGCAGAGGTGGACAATAAAAGAACGTGAATGGCCAGGATGGCAGTTTTGGGTTCTTAGTGAGGGACACTCCTACAACAACGTAAATAAAAATATCTGCTGAATAGTATTTAATTAATGCAAAACCACACACCTGATTCCAAACTGTTATTGTAATAAGATCCAAAGATGACACAAATTTACAGATCTGGTGTCAAAAGCAAAGTGTTTGCAACATAAAACAGTGAAATTTTCATCTGTAGTAGAATAACTGTTTTAAAACAGGACGTTTCATTTTCCTCGAGGGTCCAAAAACTCATTGCTAAAAAAAACAAGTTAAGTATGTTTGAATTTATTACACAGGGACAAGTAAAATGGCTGCTTCTTTATGGCCTACTTTAGCTGTGCAAACAGAGACCAGTGCGGCTCCACCAAACGCCTGCTTCTAGCTGAGTCTGAAATTAGACAGATGTCCACCGACAGTCCCGTACCACCGGACAGATGTGCTGAGAAGCTGCAGCCAGCGTGACACCGGGCTAAARGGGTGTAATGAAGCGTTGTTGATAACTGTAGTGTCCCACATACGGAGAGGCTGGCAGTGGCTTCACAACGTGGGTGTGTTAATGTGAGCTGAAGAGTCAAACTGAAAAAATGATTGAAGCTCTTACTGAAACAGCAGACCACCAGAGGACTCGACACGGAACATTTCACCAGCTGTCCTGACCTTTGGTACCCATCCAGATGGATGTAACAAACGGACAGCTCCTGTTGGGATCAAGGTGGCACCACTGAGAAGAACCGTCTCACTTTCGTGAAGCTGTTTCAGTTGTAGAGATGTCCCAAAGCTCCAGATGTTACCAAACAGCTGGCTCTTTAGTTTCAGATATCAGACCTGGAACTGGTTTTACCATAAAGGATTTCATTGTTCCCAGTTTAAATGGTAAATGGTAAATGGACTGTACTTGTATGGTGCTTTTCTATCCATCCAGGACACTCAAAGCTCTTCACACTACAATCTGTGTCCTCATTTAACCATTCACACAGCACTCTGTTAGGTCTCTACAGAGCTACCATGTACAATCATCTATGAGACTAATCAGTGCCAATCACATTCAMACACTGATGGGACACATCAGAGGCATTAGGGCTGAAGTGCCTTGCTCAAGGACACAACAACTGAGACAGCTGGACGGGGGATTGAACCGGTGACCTTCTGGTTCCTGGACGACCCCCCTAACCACTTACTTTGTTTATTTCTTTCTCTGTTTGTTTCTTTGTTTCTGTTTGTTTCTTTGTTTGTTTCTTTGTTTGTTTGTTTCTTTCTTTCTTTCTTTCTTTCTTTCTTTCTTTCTTTCTT